TCAAGCTTATACTAGGTACTTTTTATACATTTAACATTACACAGATAAGATTATCTCTGATTAAAAGCAATAGAAAAATCTGCTAAGATGTTCTAAAGGGTTGATGAGGTACCCCAAGTCAAGCTAAACACATTAATGAAGGCAAAAAGGCTTACAGTTGTGTTTTGGTTTTGTTTCTTTTCATTAAAGTGTGTAGCTTGTGCATTCTCTGATCTTGTGACCCAGCACAGAATTGACCCTTGCCTTTCTCAGTTCTTCTTTAAGCTCACTCCAGCATGTGTTTTTGGGAAAAACTACACAGACCAACCTTCATTTCAGTGCAAGCAAGCAGATGTTTTTCTCAAAGTAGCTGTCAAAGCTTTCTCCTAATTTATAAACCTAAAATTCAACAGGTGAGAAAGTATTCAAATAAACAAATCCTTACTTCCATCACACCAAGTGTTGTAAAAAACAAGAAAGCTGAAGTAACCAGATACTAACATTGCTTGATTAGTAAAATATTGTACTTAACTGATCTGTGATCATGCAGCAGTACATGGTCACTGTGGAAAGGCAGAGTGATCACGAATTTTGGTTTTTCCTGTGATGACCCAGTCACTTCCAGTGCTGCAGATAACTGGCAGCCCACTACAGGAGATCCATATTGTACTTGGGAAGTTACAAATCAACATGATTGCATTTCTTCCCTCACGTCAATGAAGGCCTCCTTTCATACGTTAGCTATCAACACAGCAAAATATAAGTACTTCAAAGATCCCAGTCATTTTTTCTCTCTCCTTCAAAGCTGTTTTTCAATAAAGAGTAAAAATGAGCTTAAACCCATTTCCTGGTTTATGGATAGCATTCCTTCTGTACTTACAACAGTGTCACAGAGAAAGTAGGGAAGAGAACAAAACAGCAGATGATGCAGTCCAAGAAAGCTCTGAAAAACTACAGAACTTTACTGAGCACCAATGACGGAGTAACGTTTTAACATAATGGAAAGCACAGCAATGACAGCAGAGCAGCAAGGTCATAGGCTGCAGGAAGTGAGGACTTGCTCTAATGCAACAGCCATAGGCAAAGAAACACAGGAAAGAATCTGCTTGCCTTCAGAAGTCCTCAGCTACACAGGGATCTCCAGATAAATACCCTCATCTGCACTGCTAATCCTTAAATGAGGTCTGGGAAGGAGTGGATCCTAGTTCCACTCCTTCCAGTCACTCAGGAACATTGCATGCATCTGAGCTCCCCTGGGTTGGCCCTGCCTTCCACCAGGTGCTCAATCACTGCTTTAGGCTGTGACTCGCATTCCCACTACACATAGACTGTGTAAAGATTGCTCCATACTCTGGTTTTAAGAAAAGATATCTCACACGAGCAGAAAAAGACTTGGCTGCTTTGACAACTGATAAGCAAATCAAACAGCATTCTTACAGCTTGTAATCCTGAACTATGGTGCTGACTAAGTAATTGGTATGGAGATGACAAATAAAACACATCGCAGTCCATGCGATCATGGATCTGGTTGAGCATCCAGGAACCAGAGTGAAATAAAGAAATGAGTGTTCTTAACCCTGATGTTATAAATATGGCACAGGCCATAATCTCCCCTGAATCTCCATTCCTTTGTAATGGAATAGGCTGAAAGACCTTTACATGTTTATACAGCTGTTGTCAACTGCAATTATTTTCCTCACCTTCCTACTGGCTGATTAGTGAAGACCAAAGGCTTTCATTACTTAGAATTCCCACGACTAGATAACAATTCTGTGAACATGAGTTTATCATTAACGATTAATTATGCTTCCATAATTCACGCAGTCATAGACCAAGGTGTTTGACAACAGCAGATTTGTCCTTTCAGTGAACACGTGCTTTACAGCTGCTGGATGTGTACCCGAGATGACAAGCAATGACCAGAACTCTGCAGCTGAAATATTTCAACTAGGGTTGGGTAAACGCACAAGACAGCATGTTGCTCTTTCTTGAGGGAGCAGTGACACAATGCCATATCCCAGCAGCAAGGCACAGGAGTATCCCAAGAGTCAGAAGTATTGAGTTTCTGCGGAAGAGAGTCTTAAAGTGCCATTACACGTCAATTACAATTTTTGTGTTTGCTTCAGTCCATGTAACATACATCAAACTCTACTAAGTTACACTTCAATGCCTTTTACAGATTCAGTAGGTAAAGGAATTCTTGCTGTTCGATATCACAGGCAAAATCTAGTAAACAAATTACTCTGAAAGCTTTAATAAATACCTGTTAGCCAAGTTACTTTCACAGATTAATGCTATAGTGAGCAGTTTAGCCACAAAGCATCTCCTTTTTTTTTTTTTTTTTTTAATCTTTTCACTCCTACCCATTAGAAAAAGCTGCTTTTTCAGCAAGTATTTGTATCTCAGAAAAACAGGAAGGAAAAAAAAACCTTATACTATTGAGTTAATCCAATTGAAAAGGACACACAAAACCCTACTTTTCTAGTATTTCTTCCAAGCTGAGACTCAGAAAATAACAAAACAAGGACAATTCCTTTAAGACTGTTCTCCAGCTCTGTGAACAGAATTTGAAATGGTTTGGCGTATCACCTGCTTTCAGTAGTGCTATCAACACTGCTAAGACTATTCAGGATGCTTCCCAAAAAGGAAAAGTGAGAGCAAAAAACCTCAACTCCCAAATGGAGGTCAAAATTCAGTGGCTGAAGTAATGCCAGACTGATTATGTGGTCTGAAAAACTGACTGGTATGGTGAAGCTCTGTCATGACACAAACTAAGATCACCTCTCTTAGAAAATGTTTGGGAAACAGTTAATGCTTTCCTGACTTGTCAAGGGAGGAAAATACTTCAGTGCAAGCCAAGACTAAACCAAAAATCTGTCTTGAAAGAGAAGTGATAGGGTTATGCCACAAGGCAAAAATACCCACCCAACCCTTCAACAGTGTTCATTTCTTCAAAGCAGTGCTACATGGTAGCAAGTTGTTTTTCACCTGCCAGGGGTAGGACTGCCATGATATATTTATTTTCAAGTTTATAAATAAAATGGATTGTATGCAATTTAAGTATTGTGAGAAAGACCATTTGAGACTTCCTACACAATTTTATGCTGTTTCCATTTGCATTTTCTAAACAGAAGTTACAAAACTAATCTGGCTAGCAAGGACTCATTTTAATACTCCCATTTCATTGAAAATAAACATGGTTTAAATTTGCAACATTGAGTCCTTAACTCTAAACAAATGTATTTAACCTTAGAAGAGTGCTTTTACAAAAGAAGTGAATGAACTAACAGGAACAGCCTCTCTGCACACTTTCGAGTTGGAGTCCAGATGAACTGATGGCCCTATTAAAAAAGCTCATATTCTTGAAGAGGCAAGAGATGCTCCAGAAGTGACTGATGATTGCAAAGAGACAAAGAGCTAACCTATATGTCTAGAGATGGATGCATGCCTTCTTTGACATGCAAACCCAGAGATCTGGCTGCTGTGGTCAACAATTTCTGTCAACTGCTTCACAGTCCTAAAATATTTATGTTCTTGTACCTCCCTGAAGTACCTGAATAACTTTATGCTAACACTTTGCTCTACAGCTAGGCTTGTTGTTTTATGCGCCCTCACAGGCTGAGGATGCAGGGGATTTGATTCTCATTTCAGCAAGTACCACAAGAAGTAGTTACACATGAAGTCAAAACGTGCTGTGGAATAGTCTTGTCTGCATATACACTCATCCATAGACAACACTTACAAACAGGGAGCAAAAAGGAACATCAGGTATGTAAGAGTGTAGACAAGCTTCCCAGATTTCAGGTTATTAGCAGAGATATCACACTATCTGCATGTTCTCTGTGAAATTGTTGCTTTAAATAATTCAACACTCCACTGAGCCATTTTGGCAGTAAAGAGGTGCTCACAAAGCATATGACGTTCCAGGAGATACTTAGACTGGTCTGACAGGACTCAAACTTGCACACGTAAGACTTGTTTTAAATTCAATTAAATTCTGCATAGCACATCAGGCCCAGCGAAAAGCACACCACACTATTACAGGTTTTCACTGGGGCAACATAGATCCCATCACCTCTCTGATCACAATTTCTAATGATCAGTTGGTTTGGAGGAGGTACGGTATTAGTTATGTTCAGAGAATGGTTCTGAAATTATTTCAGTTGAAATATTAAGCCAAACAATTACATCAGAGTATATATATATATATATATTTTTTTTTTTTTCAGAAATCAAGTCCATGTTTTGAGAGTTCAAAGTTCCGGATATTTTTGAAACTCTTGTTTCAAAATTCATCTTTTGCTTTCAGGTTATAACATTCAGGCTCTCACTTAGACACACTTTTAAATAAAACTCAAACAAAGAAACAAATTATTATTTTTACTACAGCTTAGCACCAAAAATTTGTGGTTGGCAATACAAATTCACAAACAAGAACCGTGCACCTGTTCTTTATTGAGCGATGAGAAGTTTATTCTTGATTCAGTATTCCCATTGCTAACTAAAAGAAAGACTGGAGGAAAAAATAGTAATTTAAAAAAGAAGGAAGAATGGTGAGCACTTTGAAAGATGAATCAAGTAACTGATCACTTGAAAACCCAATACACAAAGTATCAGCAACTAGTAGAAAACAAGCCCATGATAAAGAATTTAAATACAGCAGCTACAGTTCATAGCTCTGGAAAAGCCCCATCTCTATAAAGTGATCAGAGAATGACTACGCTCAATGCCACCAGGAACACACAAACAGCAATTTAGTGATATGATTATACAGATGGCAGTGCAACTAGGCTTAAGCTAGATAACAGACTACCTGATAAGAAGTGGTCCTGTTCTTGACTGATAAATTGAAATGACAGAAATGGCTCCAACAACAAATACAATTTCAGCGTAAGGTCAGAATCCCACAAAGATCAGCGTAAACCTGGCATTACACCAGCATTTAGTTCTCTGCTAGTTCATAGATGTCAAACTAGCAAAACTGACATTAAGGAAAAAAAAATAAAAAAATCAAGACTTACTTGTCAAGGAAGTCCTTGTCCACAACCGCACATATATCAAGCAGCGGATTTCCCATTCCAAACAGAACATTTTCACTGTAAGAAAGCCAATTATTTTCAAGTTAGTTCAGCATTCCTGTCACAGTAAGTTCAAGACATTTTTTAAGTAAAGAATAATCTTTTTTTTTTTCTTAATAAAACTAAGAAACAAAGAAATGCAAATCCTGCCCAGCCTAACTGCAACAATCTACCTGTCATACAGACAGAGGGTCACATTTGATCAGAATAATACTGTGATGTACATACAGTTTATATACAGTCAGCAAATAAAGTATATTTAGGCACAGGGAGAACCAGACCAGGTTATTAGAAGTCCACTGAATAAACTTAGTTGCTAATGGCCAACAATTTAGGAGTGTTTCAATAAACTGAAATTAAGAGCCTATGGATCCTGCATGGTCAGTCATCTTAAAATATAAATTCTACTGATTAAATATAAAAATATAAATTCTACTGATTAAAAAGCAGGAATGGAGGTTGTTATCAATCTGAAATCCATTATTATGACTTCCACTACATGAAAACAAGACATCAGATAATACTATCAACAACTGAATGAGCTGGCTTTCATTTTTTTTCAGATTTGTTGAGAAAATATATATTTCATTTTCCTGAATAGCACATACTTGGGTGATAATGCAATAATACCAAGGGATTAGATACAGGCCTGGTGTCAAGTAGGAGTGAATGCAGCTGTTTTCCAAGGCTGCCTAAATCTACATTCAAAACCATCACATTCCTTGTTAAGCCAACACCTGCTGCCTCCAACTGGCACAGCAAGCACTTGCTCTAGCTGCCCAAGGTAGCTTTAATGTGAATGCCACCAAGTGTGCCTCCATCTTTATTATGTCTCTATCAAGTATTTGCAGAGAAGGCACATTCGTAGCCTCTACATCCCCCACATGCTACTCCTGTAACACTGCAGCCTTCACCAACTGATTGCCCAAGGCTGAAGAACAGTATTGGCTCAGTCTCAATGTCAATGAGTTTTCAATTGTTTTGGCCCATTCGGAGCAAGAGAAATGTTTTACAGACTCAGGACCTGCATACTCAATAATGGATTTAATTAACTTCTCCTCGGCAGGATCAGAAAAAAATAACACAGAACAAGCAGAAAGGAGATGACATGAAGCAATCTCATGAACTGTGTCCGACAGAGGTCGAAAGCTCATTCATGTACTTCCTCTCACAGCTACTATAAAAGACCCTTAGTTGACAAATATTTGTCAGAAGATACTTGCCAAAAGTAAACAATTACACTTCCTCTTCTTCTTGGGATGTCACATGAATCTCTATCTAATGTTAAATTCTGAAGCATAGAAATGAAAAGCTCGCTTGTCAATGAAATAGGAAACATCTGTTTAGTAAAAACCTATAAGACTCACTAAATATTTTTGTAACTGTGAGAAGTGTTGTTTCTTCTAAATACGGAAATCATACATAAAGCAGATCAAAATAATGTAAGTTAATCTAGCTAGAAGAAAAGAGGAAAAACAGGTGACAGTTGAGGTAATATAAGGATAAAGAGGATTGCACCTGGAGCCTCTACACAATACATTGATTTCATTTTAAAGCCAGGTATTTCATCAGTAGTATCAAAGAATGAGCAATGATACAGTAACACTACTGTACTTGATGTTTAGCCAACTCTAATATTCTTTGAGGTTCTCAATAGCAATAATTTTACAGCTACACTTGAGAAAAAAAAAAAATGATATAACAGCTAACTTCTCCACAAAGCTTGCACAAGAGTGTGGCACACATGAGAAAAAACAGCAGCTGTATTCCAAAAATTCTCAAAAATACACCTGACATGTTGAAAGCACCGCCTGAAAAGCTAGGTTGTTCAACAAAGAAGCACAATGGAAACAAATATTTTGTTTGCTTGAACTGTGTGCTGCAGGGCATACCTGTCAGTGTGCTTGGAGTGGCACATGCTGTACTGATGGCTGAGCATCTACAGAAGCTCTACCATGCCAATAAGCCACATACAAACTGCCATTATTCCAGCAGCAGCAGGAACTAGCACCTTCAGTGCCATTTAATCCAGGTTGTTCTTTACATCACATACAACTCCCATCCTATCCTCAAGTTTTCCTACTTCCACCATGTTTTATAATAATGCAGTGAGTACTCAAGGGGCTGTGTAGCAGTATGCCAGCTGGGGCAGAGCTTTAAAAGCCAACACAGTAATTAGCTATGCTAGTGATTGTATGCTGAGAAGCAGCATGTCACACTGACCCCACTTGGTGGAAATACCTTTTTGGACAAAGTGGGAAGAGCATAAACAATCTCTGTCCAAGTCATAAACCAAACATTCAGCCAATTTAAGTAGACACCACAGTGCTCAGCAGTTTCTAATACCAGATTTATGAACCACAACATGAAAAGTCCAGTGTCTGTACCGTTAGACTTTGCTCTGTATCTTTGGCATGTTCACACTGATTAACCTGACACTGACTACATTTCAGGGTAGTGCAAATCACCCGTTCCCTTCAGAAGGAGCTGCAAATTATCCTCACAATGTTCTTTTGCACGGCAACAGATGAGCTATGGCTGTTACATGGCTGCTATGTGCCCCTTAAGAAAAAAGTATGAATCATATATATGCCATAAAGCCATATATTGTAAAAGCACAAAAATAAACCTAACATTTAGGAGAATATTAAATTTACAAGTCACAGGTGCAAGACATAGATAACTAAACGTTACCTTCTCTCCAAGCTTAATACTTTTAGCACCACACATGAACCTTACTGCCCTCCTGTCTGCTACTCAGTCACACAGGCATCCAACCTGGACTGACTGAACATTCACAGATTATTTTCAACCATCTAGATGTAAAAGACAGAAGAAGCATCAATAGTTTCCTGAGATGTGAGATTTCACAACACGTTGGTTATCTGAGAGCTACACCTCTGCTCCAGACATGGAGCAAACACTCACGCACAACACAGCCTGCCTGCCTCTCTCCCTTCTCTTGCACTCAAGTACTGCTATCTAGTGCTATCTAATCATTTAGGAAGCTTTTGTTTAACTCAACCAACTTATTGCAAAAGAACATTTAGCTCTTCAAGAAACAAGTGACAACTTCTCCCTGTGCAAAAATTAAGGGCATACATCTGACTATATGAGTACATGAGTGCGTGCATGTGCAGTACACATGCATAAGCAGCTGATACGAGTCTGTAACTTGTTCAGACACAGAAATATTCCATAGTAGACAAAACTGCAGGAACAACGCCAACTTACTTCACAGAAAGCTTACATGCACTGAGCATTTGCATTCTAAAGGCTTGGCAACAAGCAACGTATTTAATGAGTTTGTATTTTAATGCTGGGTTACATCAAAAAGTTAGCTTTAATTGTAAGTTCAGTGTAGTCCATTAAGTATCAAATCTCTACCTGCATTTTCCTGAGAGATTACTAAGACCATTAGTTTCTCCCCAACAGCCAAAGATTTCCCATACTACTCTCTTCTCATCACACTGCTGAAATAGAGTGCAATCAAACTGGTGGAATATAAAAACAAAGCAAACAAAAAGCCCAGGAGTACTGAGCTACCTTCCAATCATTCTCAAAAAGATCACCAAAAGTAACCATAACTGAAGGATCTAGAAAGCTGCATCCAAAATCGTGGTCATATACTGGTGACTGCTCCACTGCTGCAAGCATTTTTAAAAATAAAGTCCTGTTTCAAGTTGGCTGCTGAATGCTGGCAGCACTGTGTCTGCGTACCAACAATACTGTTATCGTTTGATATCACCGTGCACTCCACTGGAACAGCAGCGTTAAAATGTCAGTGGAAGCATTGGCTGCTGGTACACAGAAAGGGGGAGAAAATGAGCTTCTAGGTACTGAATTGTTATGTTTTTAACAACAATAACAAATATTGAAAAGCATTTCAGATTTTTTCTTAATTGCTGCAAAAATATTTACATAATAATAATAAACTGTAATGAAAAAAGTTGATAAATCCACCTTTTCTATTGGTCTATAGCAACCTCACCCTGCTGTGCAGCTGTAACGCATTCGATCATAAGTTCTCATGGTAAAGACTCAATTTACAGTTAGAAAGCCTTAATAAATAGAACATGACCGGGACAATTGTGTCCCAACTGCACGGCATAACCACAACACACGGCAGCCGGCTGTGACCATGAGATGCTGTGCCACGAGACCTGCAATGTCAGTGTATCCATAACGGTTTGGTCCTGCCCTTACAGGCAAGGCCATACAAGACACATTCTAAGCATTTACCTCAGCCACAAAAGAACACAGTAAAACCTCATATAACCTAGGATTTGGATTTATCAGAGGTCACTAACAGTCCAAATAAAACAACAATAGTACCATATTAGCTGCACATAAATGGCTAAAAGCTTTCTCTCATCCTCCTTTCCCAGGCAACATAATTATAAGCGAATGACAACTGCCGTCAGCCATTGCTTACCTGGTATTAAAAACACGTCAGAACTGCCACAGCATGACTCCAGACCATCTCCCTTGCACCACAGCCAGCCAGCCACCTCAGCACACAGACTTTCAACACGCAAGGAGCCTGCAGGACCGCTCACGTGCTGCCATTATTTAGGTCTTAATGCAGAATTTGGCAGGGGAGCTACGTGTCTACGTGCTGACCTAGCGGAGCATCTTCATGAAGGCTTCATCCATTATGGAACTTCCGCAGTCTTCCACAGGGATACACCAACGGGATCATACAGACGTAGCCCAGAGCCTCAGCCTTGCGGCAGCAGAGCCGTCACACACACCGACGGCTCCACCGCCACCAAGCTCCCACACAGCGGGGCCAGCCCCAGCCAGGCAGAGCTAGCCGTGCTGCTGGCCAGGGCAGCGCGAGGCCTGGCAGGAGCCGGGAGGGTGGGGAGGGGCGGGCGGGTCCGCAGCTCCACGCGCTCCTTCAAGTGCCGGAGGACCGAGCAGAACCAGCCTATAACGAAACCTGCCTGTTCTCTTCTGAAGAAGAACCCGTTTTAAAATAAAGCATTTGGGGAAGTAAAACCGGCCCCAGTAAT